GGAAAATAGCGGATGGGAAGTTCTGGCTCACCCGCCTTATAGCCCAGACCTTGCCCCTTCCGACTACCATTTGTTTCGATCGATGCAGAACGCTTTGACTGGAATACACTTCACTTCAGAACAGGGTATCAAAAATTGGCTCGATTCATTCTTGGCTTCAAAAGATGAACGCTTCTTCCGCGACGGAATCCATAAATTGCCAGAAAGATGGGAAAAAGTAGTGGCTAGCGATGGACAATACTTTCAATAATGTATTAATTCATTTTATCATTCAAATAAATGCGTTTTTCAAGCAAAAAAACGGACCGAATTAAGTTGTACACCCAATACTATAATCGATGGATTATCGGTGGACAGGAAAGACAAATTCTGTATACAAATATAAAGTCGATTGTTCCAACTTCTTGATAAATTACTTGACAGTTAAATCATGTGTCTATTTTTTCCTTATTTAAAGAAAAACGAAGATAGATATGATTTAACTGTCAAATAACCAAGAAGTTAGGACAATCGGCTCATATAGATTTTCTGAAAGACAGTGCTCGAAATTAATTCTGGAGACAAGTCTTATCTGTTTACTTCAAGGTTCATTTGTAGAAACTGTACAATTTCGATATTGATTTCAGTATTGATCCGATATTATAAAATCAAATCGATACACTTGTATCACAATAATTAACAGATCAAGATTATCAATATGGAATGTTGCACAATATTGCGTTATTGCATATCGTAATCTTTATTTTTATTGCGATTTACCGATATTCGCTAGCCACTTTGCTGCAGTAAGTCACTAAATCGGGATCGTCGGCGTGCACATGAAATATGGGAGCGTTAACAACACGGGCCACGTCCGTACAATGCGCACTGGATCGTGAATATCTCGGGTCAGTCGTGAAACCAATCTAAAATCGTCGACAGACAAATATTTAAACGGAATTATCTTGCTAATATCATACCTGCCAATATCAATTATTTCACACGACTTAATATTAGAACAAGGCTGATTAGATACGCACGTGTGAATATCGATATCGATTGTGTACTAAAGGCCGGTTTCATCGTCATTACTGTATGACTTTCGATAATGATAATGAAAGATATGACATTGGTGATAAGAAAAGAAGAAATGATTATAGTTACTTATAAATCATAACGAGTTTCTCAGTCCTTCGCCACGAAACTCTTGATTTAGGACATCAGAACCGGGAAAATAAATAAAATAAACAGTCCGGGAAAAGAAAGTTCAGATAAAAGCCAGATATGGATTTTGTCAAGATCTGATCAGATATAACGTTATATATGATTCAGATCTGCCCATATACAATCTTGTATAATTATATATTATCATACATAATTGTATATATGATTATATATTATTATATGTGGACAGATCTGAATCATATGTAACGTTATGTCTGATTATATCTGATCAGATCTTGACAAAATCCATATCTGGTTTTGTCTGAACTTTTTTTTCCCGGAAGTTTAAAATTCTCGCAAAATTCGTTGAAATAAAAAACATATATCTATACAAAATGACACTTGCAGTCGATCAAACAGATACAGAGCCGTATTAATAGTTGTTTTTTTGCTAAAAATCTTAACTGAAACAGTTTTTGAATTACAATATGGTCCAATAATTCCATCTTGAAATCTATTTCAAAATGAGAACTTGAGAAAAGATCAGTCAAGAATCAAATATTAAGTATCGAGTCAACAGATCTGAATCATATATAATGTTATGTCTGATTATATCTGATCAGATCTTGACAAAATCCATATCTGGTTTTGTCTGAACTTTTTTTTCCCGGAAGTTTAAAATTCTCGCAAAATTCGTTGAAATAAAAAACATATATCTATACAAAATGACACTTGCAGTCGATCAAACAGATACAGAGCCGTATTAATAGTTGTTTTTTGCTAAAAATCTTAACTGAAACAGTTCTTGAATTACAATATGGTTCAATAATTCTATCTTGAGATCTATTTCAAAATGAGAACTTGAGAAAAGATCAGTCAAGAATCAAATATCAAGTATCGAGTCAAGTATCGAGAATTACTTTGCGCTTTTTAATAGTCGATTATTGAGATGAGAGCAGATGCGTACGTATTAATAGTCACTATATCTCGTCTTATAAAAATAGTTTTAAATTTAAGAAAACTTTGTATTACTCAATTCATGTGCAGAAATGCATCAAGAAAGACTTGTGTCTACAAACATATTTTTGATAATGATAGAATTGTTCCCGATACTCAATCATGATTTTGAAGTTTCATATGAACATTATGAAATTGTGTAATTACGACTTCCAAAGCGTTACACAAGAGATGCAAAAAATTCTTCCAATTGCTAGGCTAATCATGAATTTAAAGAGCACTACAGATTCTCTAAAGAGATTGTAATGCATCTTATTTTGCTACAAATCGAAGAAGCATTGTAGGAACTATCCAATCGTGGTTTGCCCATCTCCTTCTTCAGTTAATAATTCCAAAACGCATGATTATTCACTAGTCTAATGTATTAATTAATAATTCGAAATTTTACTAAAGTGTTGTTCATAAAATGGTAAAAGAATTTATTATTCAGTTTGACCTAATGCAACGTTCTTTTTTAACTTGCCTTTTCTCAAGATTTTGTTATATTCATTTTATGGTTACTTATTAATTGTTAGGGCGAAAGAAAAGTGTTCGAACAATTTTACTGAGCTGCTTGATTGATTGCCATGTCATTTTATAACAATGTTATTGGTTATATTGTTATAATATAAACATATATCATTTTATTTTGTAAGAATTTCGAGTGTATATTTTCTGCTCCCTTCTGACGTCATAAATCAAGAATTCCATGATAAAAAACAGGAGGAAGATTAACAAACTTTAATTGTCATGAGGATTATTAGCAACCGGCGCTGCAATTTTATCGCATCTTACTAATTTAAATGTAAAACATGTAATATAATTACATATAATAAATTAATTAGATAACTAACATAATAATAAATAATAAATTAATTAGCAATAACAATATAATAACAAATCGTAAATTAATATATAATGCTAAATTATATAATGCTAATAAAAAATTGAATATGTAGCCAATAAAATCAAATAAATGAGCTAGTTAATATATGTATCATTTTTATTATATGTATCATTACATTTATTTTCGCCGTATTCTTAGTAATTCTAACTTTATCCACAGTAAAAAATTTTGCATGTTTATGTTAAAAATAATCTTAATTAAAATCGTTGTGTTATAAATATAACATATATGTCTATGTGTATATAAATTTATCTATTATTTATTTATTATTATATGTTTTGAATAAATTTTTCGTTGAATATATATTCAACAATTAAAAAAGTAAAACGACATTTTATATTGAAATATACCATTAGCATAAAAATAATATAATTTTAAAATGCAAATTTTAAGGAAAATGAACAAAATTCACGATTAAACATATTTATTCGGAAAATTAATATCTATAATATGTCATAATTAAAAGATTTAATTAATTATGACATAGATATTAATTTTCCTGAATAAATATGTTTAATATGTATATTATTGGTGATATCTTTTATATTTTATGTTAAAATTTATAAAATACGAAAAAAACCCTTTTTAAACAACAAACAATAATTATATAAAGGGCATGTAAGAGTTCAAGCACAGCTATTTTAGTAATAATACTAATATACATTTGATTTTTTAGGCTTTCGCA